GTGTGTGTGTGTGTGTGTGTGTGTGTGTGACAGCTATGGCTGGGATGACCTTCCCTTGTGACTGTGGTCACCTCCCATGCACTAAGTGTTGCGCTCAGCGCCGGAATGCTGAGACTCGTGACAGCCGTCAGCCAGAACGTGTTCCAGTCTTCCAGATGATGTAAGTCTCTGTGTGTGCGGTGAGGTTGGGGTTCAGACCGAGTTTGTCAAACCAGGCTCTGGAAACATCGGGAGGCCGACCAGTTGGTTACTGGGCCCGGCTGACACGCTCTCTCTGTGGGTGAGGTCGGATCTGACGGGGGCGGTTGTGGATCCGACCGAGCCGGTCAGGCCGGGCTCCAGTATGGCGGGACTTTTGAACGTTGTGTCACGGTTGCAGTCGTTAAGGCGTCTCGCTGTTAAGCCTGAGATTGCCGGTACAAATTAATCCTTGCGGGGTTAAGCCTGAGAAGCCCGGTACAAATTAACCCGGCGTCGGAAAAAAATCGGGAGGGCCGACCCGTTTGTCACCGGGCGAAGCACTGGTCAAGGCCCTCCGCGGCCCTCCTGATATTTCTGGCGGTCCTTCTAGCCCTTTCCTTGCAGCTCGTGGGCTGTCAGTCGTCCCTCGTAGTCATGTCTGGCGCAAACCTCCTATAGAACAGGGAAGCTGTTTTGAAACACGCGTATCCGAGCCTGGGATGTTGGGCCTGCCCGTTATTACTGGGGGCTGGTCACTACCGTCTTCTCCCGATCGCAAGGCGCACCCTCATTTTGACTGTATGGGACCGGAAAGGTAGCTTGTATACATTCAGTATCAGGGTTTGTTATGTTCAGGGGAAGACGCTGGACCAGGCTGGGGGGGGGCAGGGCGGTCTGTTTTGTGGGCGGGGGGTTGGTACCGTGGATTCTTCCCATCTGTGCTATCGGTGATTTTCGTTCCGGAGAAAGTGGGTCTTGTTTGAAATTGGTACCCGGCCTCGACCCTCAAAACAACTGACTGTTGCGCCCAGCCCCTATATATGTATGAGCCGCTCCGTGCCACTCCACAAATATGAAAAAGACAAAAGCTATGGCGGGCGTATCCTTCCACGTTCTAGGGGAGGATACATTCTCTATTTTGCTGTGAGGCCCTATTTGCAGCCCCATTATATTCAGCTGCCTGCTAATTTCAGGTGCTTTTTTTTTTTTTTTTTTTTTTTTTTTTTTTTTTTTTTTTTTTTTTTTTTTTTTTTTTTTAACTCAGCTGTATTCTTCTTCCAACTAGGCTTTGGTATGTTTTGGTTGCTCCCTGTCGATGTCGATTGGCCCTTCCCGCCGTTCCCGGTGCGCTTACCACTTAGTCAATTTCAGGCGAATTGTTTTGTTGCATGCGCTAGCAGGATTCGAAGTTTTTTGAACCCTGATGGAATCTTTTTTTTTCTTTTTTTTTTTAACATCTCAGACAAGTACTAGGGGTACTGATAGGAGCAGACACCTATAGTACTGTCGGAGAGGCTCCATCTATTGGTGGGGAGCGGCACCTGCTGGAAACCGGGTCCAGCGTTCTAGCAACCCTCAATCACGTGGGGCTCTGGTCAGTTCGACAATGTACGCCAAATTTGTCGCCCTTTTTTTTTTTTTTTTTT